CAATAATTATTTTATAAATAATATATATATATATATATATATATATATATATACACATATATATGTATACTTTTTTAATATTTTTTATAATATTAATATTATATTATAATGATAAATGTAGAGTTTCTTGACTTACCTTTTATTCTATGATTAATTAAATATACCGCTTCATTGATTTTTTGTAATTATTTCGATTTTAATATGTACATTGTAATTACTTTAATGTAATATTATTTTATCTACTATTTATTACAAAGAATTAAATTAATAAAAATCAAACAAGTCGTACACGTTCCGCAGTTACTCTATCATGTGTAGAACTAATAATGCTCGAGCTGAGACAGTCTAGAGAAGGGGAATACTCCCTTCCATTATTCACCATCACGCAATGTTATATAACCTTACCTGAGATATAACCAATATCCATGCTTGTTTTTATGAATATATTGAATTTTTCAAAATCAACCAATCAAATTCGTTTATGTTGCGAATGTCAAGTTACCGGTCTTGTGATCATATAATTTAAATACATCGATAATTTTCTATATTACAGATATTTCGAAGTATTCTTCTTGTAAGTAGATTACTCAAGAGTAATTTTATCGATATTATTTCAGAAATATTTTATATTTTGATCTTATTTTATATTAAGATCTGCATTTATCAATACATTGAAATCAACGATATTTTTCATCAATATTTATTTTATTGATATCAAGTTATATTATCATTTACGGTAAGTTTTTTTCATTACACTTATTTTTTTTTAAGAAATATAAATAATATTAAAATATTATTCATATTATTAAAATATTAAATCACATTTTTATATAATTTATCAATATTAATCACATTTATCAATATTATATATATATATATATATATTAATAGTTTAATTTAGTTTAATAGTTTAATACCTAATAGTTTATTTTTGTTTTATTTTAATAATTTATTTTTATTTTTAAACTATTTTATTTTTTAAATCAATAAATAAAAGTAAAATAAATTTTAATTTTTTTAAATTAAATATTTCATTAATGTAATTTACATACATAATTCTGTATACTATACATATATATTATTTGTCTTAAATATATATATATATATATATATATATACATTAGATATTATTTGAAGATAAGATCATATTTCTTCTACTATTTTCTCTATTAAGTTTTGCTAGCATTTATTGGTTAAATTATTGTATGAAACCATGTGATAGATTTTAAACTTTTGGTTGATTACGAAATAACATTAATTATAATAATATTATGTTAAACATAAATATATAAGTAATATAAGTAAATATATAAGTAATATAAGTAAATATATAACATAATTTAAATATTTTTATGTCGAATGAATTTAATATTTAATTTCAATAATGTTTATGATTATTAAACTAGAATATTACAATTAACAAAGTTGAAGAAAATCTTGTATATTTTTCTGGTTTTCTATAATCTATAATCTATAAAAAAGGCAGATCTATAATTGTCTCTTAGATAATTAAAATCCGTTTCAAATAAAGTAACAGTATTTTGTAACATTTACTATATAATAGTGAACAATGAAAGATTTATGATTAAAATTTCACATTGAATAAGTACATTGAAATTATTTTTTATAATTTCTATATAAGTGATCATTAGATATAGTTTGATTCTATTTTGGAAATAAAGAAAATATATTTTCTTTTTCTTACTTAGATTTATGAAACTATGGGTTTGATATTACACATAATATAAAAAAATATTCTTAAATATTCTTTTTTTTTTCTTTGGCTAAAGTATTCTATACTTTTATGTAAATTTTTATTTATAAATCATTTGAATGTATTATTAGATTGTAATGTTTCTATATATATAATTGTTATTATATCTTTAAAAATTTTTATTATTGACATTTAGATATTTTTTTATATCAACTTTTTATTATATATTATTTATTTATTATATATAAACTTATAATTGTTTGATATGTAATATAATTTATTATTTCAAATCTATTAATTTGTTTATATCTATTATAGACATAAAGTTAATAATTAATTTTTTTTTTTTGGGCTTTGGAAAATGAGTGCATGTTAAAGAATATACTAATAACAACTATTTTATTTATGTAAATAATGAATATTATTATGTTAGAATTTTAAATAGAATTGTTTCAAGTTCAATAAAATCATACATTATTAAATTACATTATATTAAATTTTAAATGGTCATTAAGAGACCTTTCTTTTGTAAATTTATTTTAAAAGAAATTCCTTCAAAAATTTTGTATTTTCTATAAAATCATTTAAATTTATGAAAAAAAAAAACAGTTTTAGTTTTTCACTAAGTTCCACAACAAAAAGCGATTTTCGAAAAAGAAAAGTTCAATAAAGTAGAAACTTCATACTTCAAAATAAATCAAAACAAACTTTCGTACAATTTTTTTTTCTTTTTTATACGAATCTTCAATAATTCAAAGATCGAAAATTTAATGTTCTTTTAATTTTAAACAAATGTACATATATTGTTATACAATATGCATATTATTATATAATAATTTATTCATATTATGTGTAAAATACTACTTATAATATTTTTTAAATTAATTTCTATGTTTTTATTAAATATTTTTTTAACATTTAACATATAATAATAATTTTTTATTTTCAATATATTCTAAAATTTATAAAAAAATGCCAATTATCGTGCTGTATTATCAATTTTTAAATTAATTAATATATTTTTAATTTTATTATATTTCGAAATTTTCTAAATTTTTCAATAATCGAATTAAAAATATTTTATTAACCATAATAATATTCATTATTTCTAATTTTATAAAATAAATTAATAAATTCTCCAATACGAATTATATCTGATTATCTTCGCATATACTTGTAGATTTTTATATAAAATATTTATATTTTATATTATATATTCAATCTTATTGTATTCATAATCTCTTAATAACTGCTTGTTCTATAAATTATTATGTATCTGGAAATCCAACCATCTTCAATTTGATAGTTAATTTTGAATTTTTCAAATTTAATTTCTTATTTGATTTAAAAAAAATTTTTTTTTTATCTTGAAAGAATATAATATTTGATTTTTTTAGATTATAATATCTTCATTTCTAAATCTTTTTTGTTATTTTATTGTTTTATTTATATAATTTTGATGATTTCCTCTTCAGTATTTTATTATAAAAATAAAAATAATCTTTATAATAATCTTTAATATTCTTTTACATGTTTCAATTTATATGAAACATAGTGTTGTTAATTGAATTAATTAATATATATTGTAATTAATTGAAATATGTATTTTTAGAAGTGCATTTTATTTCACATTACATTTTATTTTCTCGATTGTTTAATTTTTTATTTTTTTCACATTGAAATAATTATTTTTTAATTAAATAGAAAATTTATTTTTATCACCCATTTTTCTATATTTATATAATTTTTGTGTTTCTTATACAATTTGAAAATTATTTTGCGTTTTTCTGTAGTAATTTTAGTTTGTTCTCGAATTATTTTTTATATGGCATTATTATTTAAGCATTGTAATAGATTATTAGAATTCTTAATTATTAACTATAGAAATATTCATCAATGTGACATAATAATATAAATATAATAAAATCAATTTTATTAAACGTGATATAAATATTTTTATGCATTATTATTATATATTATATTATATATTATTATATCTTAGCAATGAAACATTTTCAAAATATTAGTTAAATTTGTTTTTAATATAAAATATCTCGAAATATCTCGAAATGTCAAAATTAACATATTATTTTGTATCATATATAATTGTTTTTTGATAATGATTTGTATAAATTATTATTACTTTAATTTTTTTATCCTACAATAATAATTTTATTATTAGGAATTTTCGATTGAAATAATCTTCATATATATATACAATGCATGAAAAAATTTTTTTTCCATATATTGACTGCTTTTTAAATATTAATATTATTATTTTTCACGATATCATATTTTATATATTATGCAATTTTTTTATTTTTGTTTAATATAAAATTAAAATAAGTAACTTATAATTTATTTATTTATGTTATTATTTTACAAATTTTTTAATAGTAAACAAATTAAAAATTGTTATTTAATGTTGATATTTAACAGTCTATGTTTCAGTGCTTAAAAAAGATACATAATATTTTCAATTTTTTTTTTTTCTTTGACTTTGCTCGATAGAATTGTCTATAACTAATAAGTTTATATTTTTATATAGGATTTATAAAAAAGAAACGAGAAAAATATTTTTCAATTTTTTCTTTGACTTTGTTCAATAGAAATCTATACTTTCCATTTAACATATTTGTTATTATAGTTTAGCTATTATAAATTTTAAAGAAAAGTGTAACTTTCATTAAATGATTAATATCTCATTTTTTATATTGAAAGATAAATTATTTTTGCAATTATATATAAGATATATAAGATAACATTGATTAGTTTTCATTGTCTCACCGAAAAAAGACAAATAATAAAGAAATATAATTTACACAGTTAATTCAAAAATAAATGATTATAAAAAAAATGAAATAATAATTAAATTATATTATTCAATATCAAATATTAGTATTGATGACATATAATAAATTGTTAATATTTTCAGCATAACATTTGAAAATTTACTGTCTATTTGTTTAACAACTTTGACATATAACCTTTAATGTTTTCTTATTATATGATTTCAGAAATTCCTTTTGTTTTTATATCAAAGTTTGGTTTGGGAATTCGGTTTGAACCATCGTCAGGACAAGACATTGTATCCGCAAGTATTGATATAAGTAAATAATATGTGAATAATTAACCAGTATGGCAATATATGCAATAATTTTTTATTCTTAAATATAAATTATATATTTTTAAATAGAGAAAATAAATTGTTTCTCGCTAAGAATATTTTTATCTAACGCTAAAAAAAAAAAAAAATTAATAGAACTATATTTTTATTATTATGATCACTATATAACATATTATTATGATCAAATAATGCAACAAATGCAATTTTTCACAAAAGATCAAATTATAATTTTTAATAAGTATCGAAATAAATATCTATATTCAAAATTATATATTAATAATAATTTATAAAACAATCTAGAAATTTCAGATCATATATTTTTAACACTCATGTTTGTTTTCATCTAAACAATAACAAATGACTTACAAATAAACTTATAAAAACTTATAAAAAATCGTACTAAAATAAACATAGAAGCAAAAAATAAACATAGATATTTGAAATCCGACTGTTAATTACAAATTTAAACAAATTATTCTGTTTACCATGTGTCTAATTCATACTAATTTCACATTATTAAAATAAATTAAATATAATAATAATAATTTTATATAATTAATAATACATTAAATGAAACCAGTTTTTAAAATAATGTTAATTAGACTAAAACTCTCTACTACGAATTAATAAAACGAATTAAACAATCTTTAAATTTAAAAATTTTAAAATAAGAATTATATTTTTTGAACAAGTTTTGTATATAAAAAACTGTTTTTAAACGGTTTTAAAATATAATC